GATAAAACATAATTCAAAATGCACTGCACTCGAGTGAGTCCCAATGTGCTTGATATGAGCCTTATATTATTACACCTGGTGTATATGTGTACTTTTCATCGGTATCCTTCCAGCAGTTTCAACGTGAAGAAGGTCGCATACACACAAACACACACACGCACGCACACACGCACACGCACGCGCACGCGCACGTATTTTTCTAATGTTTATTATTAAGTAGCCGACTAAAATAGATCAGTAAATACTTTACTGTAGCTTCATATATAGACATATTCATAATAAACGCAAATTGTTCACATTATCTCGCGTTCCGGAACGTTTATAATATTTTGATCTATGGGCAAGTGATCTATCTCTGTGTCAGGCATCTCAGGCGTTCTGGTTTGGTATGAAATGTTTGAGATGTCCTGAACTCAGTTAATAATACCCTTGAAGCGACAACCGTGTCGAAATGAAATCTGAGTCATACATTCGTTTACTTAATTTATCTCTTCATATCCTTTAATAAATATAGTTTGCTTTAATATAAAATCATATTTCATCAAACTTTGATTTTAAGTAGCCTTTCTGTTTTTACAGATCAGAAGTGTTTTTTTTTTAATATTTTTTATGTTTATGGCTTCGATTTTATATAAGTACAACTGTATTGTGCCTATGTATGTATACCTACTTAATTTTTAACCGACTTCCAAAAAGGAGGTGTTCTCAATTCTTCGGAATCTTTTTTTATGTCTGTTCATCGATTACTTGTAGAGCCTGAACCGATATGGATTTTTTTTGTTTGAAAGGTGGTCCCATATAATTTTTTTAATTAATTAAAAAAATGCAAATACTCTGTATAACAACCGAATCTGATGCTGCTGAAATCCCCAATCTGCTCAATCCATATATAAGTTGAAGAGCGTTGAAGAATTCAACACCCCCTGCCTCACCCTGAACCCCAACCCATAAGATTGCGATAACACTTCAGACCATAGTATATTATTGATTTCTTTCCCATACCAATGAATTGAGTGAATGAATGAATTATGAGTTTAGTATGATTTTTATAATACAAATGTAACTAAGTCGAATCGGTAGATGAAATATTTTTTGGAAAATCCTAATAAATAGACATTATTATCGATTTAGAAGCCGAATCTATAGTTTTAAAATTTTTGTCTGTCTGTCTGTCTGTTAGCGCATCACGAAAAAACCAGTTGCTAGTACTTAATAATAATATTAGAAATACAATTTTACTGTATCACTGATAGTTAGGTGCAAATACATATTATATATGTACATATGTGTGTCAATCTGGTTATGTCGCGTCAACCATGGCTGTATAACAAAGGTTTAATTAACACGATTTCACTCCATATTGCACTTGTATCGCATTAATTTGCATCAACGTTGACATTTAAATTATTCATACATATCTAATTATTTGATGTAGGAGCCGAGAAGCTGATCAAAGGTTTGTATGCCATAAGGCCGCATTGCGTCACATTTTTTCTAGTTAATAGCTATTTATATGCTAATTTATTGCTGCTATTTATCTCGATTTTATTATAAATTACTCAGCAGCATAGATTTTAGAACGCGATATAACAATTTAAATTATATGTAATTAGAATAAATATATGAAGTAGTTTACACTGCTTTCAATTTAAAAAAAACGGCGAAAGGTTATAACGGCTGAACCGATTTGGAATTTTTTGTTTTCAAAGGATATACTTTCCACGTGGCCCCATATAAATGTTATCGAAATCGGTCAAGCGTTTTTTTTTAAATTTAACAAATAAATTGTTTTTATTTTTTAATAAATTGCTTAATCGAACATGTTATTAAGAAACTTTCTTCTAACAAATTACCTGCTTATTACGTCTACACTAAAAATGGACAAATAAAAACTTAAAAAAAAACCGACTTCCAGGCACTAAAATGTAAAAAATAACAAACGGGGGTTTTTCATTTAGAATAGATAATACCTAATCAGATATTTTCGAAAGTCGGTGCCAGCCGACAATATTTTAAGATATGAATATCTAAAAGGTAAATATGTGTTTTACGTACCTATCGAAATATATTAGATTTGCTTCACATCGGCTGGCACCGACTTCGAAGATATCTAATTAGATATCTATACTAAATGAAACCCCCGTTTTAGTTATTTTTTACATTTTAGTGCATGGAAGTTCGGTTTTTGTTTTTTTTTTTAAATATAAATAGTGTAGTATAGAGTACAGTCAATCGCAGTACTTGTTATCACTTTTATTAAGGCAATAAAAATAAAATTCCCACGCGTAATAAAATAAGTGTAAACAAAATTTTATGATAGTTTTAAGCGTTAGGAGATTTCATATTCTTGATAGTTTATTACTTTTATGTAGCTTATACCGTTATTGCAAACATAATAAAATTGCGACGAGCGTCTTCAACTACGCGACTAACATGATGTAAAATCGATTTACATAATTAATTGACTATCATATATATATATATATATATATATATATATATATATATATATATATATATATATATCGTCTTACCTGTCTATCTCTATCTGTGTTTTATGTTAAAATATGAATTATATAAGCTTAGTGTCCAAAGAAAAATTAAACAACAAAAATTCAACGTTAAAAGTTAAAACTACTACATATTGTACAACGAACCATCTTTTTATTATAAATTATTAACCCCAACGCAAAAAGAGTTTTTTTTTGGTTTTAAAACCAATTTTCATTTAGATTTTTTTGTTTGAAAGTTGACTTGATCGAGTTTTTTCGAGAGTTGGTCGAGTGTTCCTCAGCTATAAATCAAGAAATCCTGTTCAGCCGTTTGCAGGGCATCAGCTCTTCTTTTCTAGACGGTAATAGAATATGAGTGACTTCCACAGATCTAATCGATTCGATATTTGGTATCCTGTTACTTCAATGAGATTACAACGACATGGTGACCTTGGCCTGATGCTGCAGAGTCACCTGAAATTTACAAGATTCTGAACTCTCTTTACTAAAATACTGCAGAGATATCGTGTTCATTGAAATGGTCTCAAAGAATACGGTATTTGTTGGGGTATTTTTAATTTTTTAATTTACTTACTTGGTAGCTTCTCTTGTAACTAACTAATAACTATGTATTTATATTTTGCCATTTGATTTTAACCAATTTTAATTGTATCGATCTATTGTGTGTATGTATATTTATGTTTAACTGCCTCGGTGGTGTAGTGGCTAGCATGTACGGCTGCACACTCGGAGGTCCTGGGTTCGAGTCCCGGGTCGGGCCAAGTTTAGTTATTGAGTCTTTCTGTATAGTAAGTCTCAGTAACAGCCCGGAGTTGGGAAGTTGGCGGTGCTTCACCCCCGTGCCTCGGAGAGCACGTAAAGCCGTCGGTCCTGCGCCTTAACTCTCACCGGTCGTGCCGAGCAGTTCCACTGGAGTATGAGAGTGATAGGAATAGAGAGTGCACGTTGTGTCTGCGCGTACACTTGTGCACTATAATATCTCCTGCGCAGTTGGCTAGTCTCAATGAGATTGGCCGCCGTAGCCGGAATCGGCTAGGAGAACATCATGTATATTGAAACTTTTAGCGTCAAATCCAAGCTTCAATACCATATATTTGATATTATTAATATGGTTACTCGAAAAGAGTGTTTTTTTTTCATATTTTATCTTTGAAAAATCATCTCAGAAAATTTTGGACCTGTCGCGTGTCATATTTTATTTGGAAAGTAGCTTAATTTAATTATTAGGTACAAATACACTTCATATACCTAATTAAAAATTACAATGTACTACTCATAACATTATATGTAGTTGAATAAACATAGCTTCTTTTACTTTAACTTATGGTTTCCTAAGACTCTGTACCAATAGAATTTTTATATCGGAAAAGAGAGAGTTCAAAAAAGAATATAGAATTTATATAAGAACTATGGTATTATATGGAAATTTTAAATACTAGATGTGATTATGCCTTAATACTTTGATCATCTACATGTTATTATATATACATATACTATTCAAAATAACTAACTGCCTCGGTGGTGTAGTGGCTAGCATGTACGGCTGCACACTCAGAGGTCCTGGGTTTGAGTACCGGGTCGGGCCAAGTTTAGTTATTGAATCTTTCTATATAGTAAGTCTCCGTAACAGCCCGGAGTTGGGAAGTTGGCGGTGCTTCACCCCCGTGCCTCGGAGAGCACGTAAAGCCGTCGGTCCTGCGCCTTAACTCTCACCGGTCGTGTCGAGCAGTCGTCCCACTGGAGTATGAGAGTGATAGGAATAGAGAGTGCACTTGTGTCTGCGCGTACACTTGAGCACTATAATATCTCCTGCGCAGTTGGCTAGTCTCAATGAGATTGACCGCCGTAGCCGGAATCGGCTAGGAGAAACATCATGTATATTTGAAACTTTTAGCGTCAAATCCAAGCTTCAATACCATATATTTGATATTATTAATATGGTTACTCGAAAGAGTGTTTTTTTTTCATATTTTATCTTTGAAAAATCATCTCAGAAAATTTTGGACCTGTCGCGTGTCATATTTTATTTGGAAAGTAGCTTAATTTAATTATTAGGTACAAATACACTTCATATACCTAATTAAAAATTACAATGTACTACTCATAACATTATATGTAGTTGAATAAACATAGCTTCTTTTACTTTAACTTATGGTTTCCTAAGACTCTGTACCAATAGAATTTTTATATCGGAAAAGAGAGAGTTCAAAAAGAATATAGAATTTATATAAGAAACTATGGTATTATATGGAAATTTTAAATACTAGATGTGATTATGCCTTAATACTTTGATCATCTACATGTTATTATTATATACATATACTATTCAAATAACTAACTGCCTCGGTGGTGTAGTGGCTAGCATGTACGGCTGCACACTCAGAGGTCCTGGGTTTGAGTACCGGGTCGGGCCAAGTTTAGTTATTGAATCTTTCTATATAGTAAGTCTCCGTAACAGCCCGGAGTTGGGAAGCTGGTGGTGTTTCATCCCCGTGCCTCGGAGAGCACGTAAAGTTGTAGGTCCTGTGCCGGTCGTGTCGAGTAGTCGTCCCACCGGAGTATGAGAGTGACAGGAATAGAGAGTGCACGTTGTGTCTGCGCGTACACTTGTGCACTATAATATCTGCTGCGCAGTTGGCTAGTCTCAATGAGATTGGCCGCCGTGGCTGGAATCGGCCAGGAGAACATCACTATACAAATATAGACAAAGAAAAAGTTTTTTGATATAATTTTGCTTATATCTTAGGTTCGCATATTTTTTATGCAGTAATAGTATTATTGCTAAAAAAAGGTGAAGTTACTGGATATTGAAATGTTTTGGAAGACCATATATTTTATTAGGAACGGATAAAGCTCATAAAGTTGAGTATAATTAAAATTATAATGCTAATGTAACGACTAGTACATTACAGCCTATATATACAACATTATTGCCTACACTTTGGTTTCATGGCAGAATGAATCTTAAAACACCTGACAGTAACAAAATTTATTGGAGGACTAGCATTGCCCGCGGCTCCGTCCGCGTTTAGATGACCAAAAACCAAATTCTTAGGTTTTATGTATTAGTATACTCTTACAATGCAGTTTTTGTATTTTTTCTCAGAAATGAGATATTTTCCCGCAGTAAAAAGCATCCTATATGTTGACCCGGATAACCAGCTATCATCATACCAAATTTCATCAAAATCTGTCCAGTGGTTTTCTCATGATGCGGTAACAGACATATAGACAGACAAAAATTCTAAAAACTATAGATTCGGACTCTGTGTCGATAATAATATCTATTTCAATAAGATTTTCCAAAAAATATTTAATAGTCAGATTCGACTTCGTTACAATTTTATTATAAGTATAGATTGTTAAATCTTGACAGTTAAATGATCGCACCAATAAATAATATCTTTATTTCTTATTAAATATTTAATTAAATAAGTAAAAAAATGGAATTAAAGTAACGCTAAATGTTTTAAACAGTTTTTATGGCGGAATTCGACTTTTTCTGAGAGACACGATTTTATTTTTGAGTCTGATCAAATACCCTAGATTGATGAGGAGAGTGGTGTGATGACTGGTACCTAGGACCTCACTAATTATTTTTCAGCTTTTACTATGTACATTATCTGCATCATTATTATCTTTCTTTACAATAAAACCGTTTAACTTAAAAATAGATTTTTTTACCTATTTTTTAACGTTCATTTCTCTGTTAGGGTGTAATAGTGTATGTAGAAGCCAAATCGACAATTTTTGAATTTTCTTTAGACTTTCATACTTGTCTGTTTAATTGAAGAATTACTGGTGTTTAAGAAAAAAACAAGGGAACGGTCACAAGCCAAAGCTATATTAATTATATGAGGTAATAAAAACGTTAAAAATCCACAACTTATATAAGTGTAGACTAATCATATTAATATTACCTACACAAATTTGAAAATTTTACATAATCTCTGTCCATTCGTTTGTTTCATACTCAAGATTAAAGTGCTGAAAAGATTTTGATGAAATTTTATAAGAACATAGATTGCATGAATTGGGATTGGGATATACACAGGCTACCTATTTTAATACTGTTGAAAAAAAACTATAGTATTTATAATAAACAAAGGATTTAAAATGTAAATATATTGTAAATACAAGTGATAAGTGATAACAGAGACACGAAAATCAAAGAATGTCAAAATAAATTGACACGATTAGCTCTTTGTTAAAGTATCCGTCGCTAAACTATCGGGAAACCGAGTCCATGAAAATGAAATTATCCGCCAATGAAACAACACCGACCGCAGACTAACGTTGTGGTCTAAAATATATTTTTTTTGTTTCATAATAGATTTTGACACAAGAATTTAGAAAAGAAAAAAGAATTTTTCTACATGGTATTATATTTTTTCTGCTACTCTGCACTAGATGGCACTGTAGATTATTAATTTCAACACCTTTCATCCAATCAGCAAGAACATGAATATGAATAAGTATTATTATATAACATTTTCAAAGCCGCGAAAGAAGGCTAGTTAAAAATGAAATTTAAATATACATACATATATGTCAATCGATCGTCTAATAACCCATAGTTAACATGTTTTCAAGCGGCATTGACTCCATTGATTAATGATTATCCTTTCTAAAAATATTTAGTTCTAGGTAAAACAAACTTTAATAGAGTTATCATGTAAGAGAAGCTTACGTCAGCCGTTTAAATGAAAAGCCTGAATTCAATTATTTCTATCTTAGAAAATTCGCTCCGTATCCTGAAAATGATCCACTAGACTCATCTGTTAAACAAATTGGCTTGCCCTTTATGGCTTGTCAGTTACTACATGAATACTGTGAAAGCCTAATAATTACTATAGTCAGTATTATCTATGTATTTTTTAGTTGGTACAATAAAGTTAAAGTTCTTTAAATATTGGATTTGATATCTTTATTCCTAAAGCAAACTTCAAGGCAAGAGTGAATAAGTGGCTACTGTATTAGTGCGACTTACCGTCTACGACTGCGTTACCACTTACCATCAGGTGGAACGTAGTCCAGCACTAATTCAGAACAGTATAAAAAAAACTTGTTTTACAGATAAAATATGTTTTGTGTAAATAAATACTCATATGGTTATGCATTAAAGAGTGTAAAAGTAAAGAAAGTTTTTTTTTTTCTATACTATTCTATACTATAATATTATAAAGAAGTAAAGTTTGTGAGTTTGTGACGTTGTAGGGGGTAATCTTTGGATCTACTGAATCGATTTGGAGGAAATTTGGTAAGAAGATAGTCTGAGACGCTGGGAAGGACATAGGATACTTTTTATCCCGGAAATCACCCCTTAAGGGGGTGAAAATGAGGATGAAAGTTTGTATTGCGAAGCAAGCTACGGTCTAACCCGAGCAAAGCGAGGGTGAGTCGCTAGTATTATAATAAAAGTGTTATCGCGTATATCCTACCTCATACTACTTTAGGGAAAAAGTGGTTATTTTCCCTTATGGGTTTTAGAACACTTATGGGTTTACCTATTCTATTAAGAAGATTGACCAATTTTCAACATGGAGAAATTGTTTCAATTTTGTTATTTGTACAACTATTATGAATATAAAAAATAATTTACTTTAAAAAACTAATATTATGTAAATGTGTATGTTACTGTAAAAGCCCGACCTACGGTTAATGCTAAGATTTTTCAGTAAAACATAGGATTTACTTACTCATAACGGTAAAATCCGAAATGTTCTGTGATTGTAGTTCATTTTAAACTATTACCACCATTGACTTGGTAAATTTAAGGTTTTACCTCAAATGTTCGACCGATTTTAATAATTTTTTGTAGTAGGTATATTTGGTAGGTATGAGTATAGGTAGTAAAGTATTTTTCTCCTACCCCCACCCCCCAATTTTTAATCGCAATTTTGGTATTTTTGTATGAACAATAATAAAACATTTATAATAAAACTGTTGAGGTCGAATGTCTGTACATAGAAAAAAAATGCTAAGAACCGAGTCAAGGGGATGTAAGAAGTGAAATAGAACTAATCCAGTTTCTTTTTCAATTTTTTTGTTTCTCTGTTTGTTTATCTATTTATCTGTTTGTACGGTCTAATCTCCGAAACTATTGGACCAATAAATCGGTCATCATGCAAATTAAATTTTGCATGATGGTACCTTATATCCTTCAACATTTTAAATACTTTCCATCCCGGAAAATAGAGCTCACGTGGGATAGTTAAACACTAGCTAGCTAGCTAAGCTATATAGTAACTTATACAGCTTAGTACCTACACAAAAACCATTGATTGGATTTTAATGAAACTTTACAATAACATAGTTCATACATCAGAATAACAAATAAGCTACTTTTTATCTCGGAAGAATGTACGGTTCCCGTGTGATAGATTTGTTTTTGTTTGCCTAGAGGCGAACTCGATCGAAGCGAGGGTGAGCCGCTAGTATTAAAAATATGCTAATATCGCTGTGTAACATAAAGCCAAAGAGTTTTTTGTAGATTGGACGCGAGCGTAGCCGCGGGTTCTGTTAGTATAAAATAATAATTAGAGTACATGTATTCAGCCCTTTTTAAAGTCCCACTGCTGGGCACGGGCCTCCCTTCAATACGAGGAGGATCAGGCCATAGTCCACCACGCTGGCCAAGTGCGGGTTGGCGGACTTCACATGTCTTTCGAAAACTTGTTAGGTTCTCTCAGGCATGCAGGTTTCCTCACGATGTTTTCCTTCACCGTAAGGTAATCATGTTAGAAATGATTCGCACATGAAAGTATCAGAGGTGCGAGACCTGGGATTTGAACCCGCTTCACTCGGTTTCCCAATTTATTATCGGATTAGTGCCTCGTAAATCTGTCTCGAAGGGATAGAAAGAGACTGCTATTATCTCGTCTATTACACATTAATTCTTATACACGAACACATAATACCTACTTTTACTTAGTATCTCAATTAACAAGTATTTACCACGAGTGCTGGTCATTAGGAGCACCCATACCGGTGATTGCTGTTGTTTAACATCCATTAAGTGTAATATCTCAGGTCGCCTGCTAGGGTTAATAAGATATTTAATCTTAACAAAAGTTTTCATTCTACTATCCTAGTTAAAATAGAACGCGACACCAAAACTTATAAGATAGTTCTAAAATCTGTTTAATGTGGTTTGTGAGACAGTGCATGTGTCTAAAATGTACGTGGGCATATAATATGTACACCCCTACTAGGTTTACTACACTGGAGTTCCGCACGTTATTGTAGAAATTTTCATTAATTAGCTTAGGATATTCATTAATTATTTATATCTAAACTTATTTTTACTAAAAACCTTATTTTTATTCTTACATATTAATTATGTGACAGAATTATGCAATCCGGTCGGTATAGTTAAAAATAAATCTAGATTTGGGTTGACCTAAGGTTTTTAAAAAGTTTGTTTATTTGTTTGTCTTAACCTGATCTAATCTTGTAAATGACTGAAAGGTTTCCTGATTATCATTTTAAAAGCGTTTATTTGAATTAAAGTTTATTGAAGTGCCGAGACGTGTCTATTATAAAAGAATTGAATTACAAAATGCGGTCTTAAATTATACTTAATACTAGGGTACTACAGACGTTGTCCCACACACTATTTTCACAATACAAAAAATCACGCTGATCCGTCACTCTGCTCCAACGTGAAAGAAGAACAAACAAAAGAA